GTTGCCCGCTGACAATAGAGCAATGTCCACTCACGAAGGAAGGATACTTATGTGTCTGAGAAAGGATTTTAAGTGATTTAACAAAGATTTTAACAGTTACACGTGTGCAGAGTGTAAAAGAAGAGGTAGGTGACAATAGAGATTTGTGTAGAGGTGTTTGTAGGTTCAGGTGATTGGAGTCAAAACAAATACCTTTTAACACATAGTAAAATTGTACTAATATTGATAGTCCCTAACTGCTATATATAGAGCCAGAAATCGTTACACTATAAGAAAGTGCATTCTGTGGTCATATAAACTTTAATTAGCAGAGATTTTAGGTGAATCTACTGTTAAAAAATAGAGAAAGAAATAATGGACTTAAGTTAATGTGACTGAATTCCAAATAATTATCTCTAATTAATAGTATATTAATAATAATATTTACAGTAAAGATATATGTATATATTAATATATACAGTAAAATGAATTGCTTGAAAGATTTTAGTTAAAACTTAAATGATTAAAGAAACTTCTAATATTATTCCAAAATTTTATGAGATGAAATATTCACAGATGTTAGTGAGTCAACTAAAACCATTTTTATAATTTTTGATGAAGTGTGTTTAATTCATATTCAATTTTTTTATTTAATTATTCGCATAGGACCAAAAAATTATGTCGGGGTAGTTCTGGGTTTGTTTAAAAAGACGTGGGTGTAAGACATTTTCTTCTTCAGCATAAAAAAAAATTTCATAGAATCTTATTGCTACAGATATAATAAGCAAGATGGCGTATTGTGATGTGTTATCTTATTTCATCAGCAGAGATTTTTGTTGGACCTAGAAAATAGTCAATAAATAAATAGTCAATGGAACTGAAGCCAAGCAGTCTCTCACGAATATTATCTGAATAAAGTATTCTTTTATTCTTTCCGTTGTTGTAGATGTTGTTGTTTTTAATGTTTATATTCAGTTGGTAACTAGATCACCTACAATGTATCTGCACTTGATATTTCAGTTCACTGACAATATAGCCTTAAGTTTTTAATGTTCTTTTGTGCGGATGTTGCATATCCGTAGTGATGGAGGTTATTTACATAAGAGAGAAAGTAAGAAACAGAATAGTGTAGGGATATCCCTTGATGATTTCAAATAACTTTAATATATTGCTAAAATCTCGATACGGAGATGTCTGATTAAGATTGTAGATCTCAAATGTCAAAACGTTTACACGATCATTTCAAGCACTTTAAATAAGCATAACTATCACTTGTATACGTGATTCGACAAATAAGTATAATCTAAACAGTAATGAAAATGTAAAAAAGTGTACATTCTGGAATTATATTACTTTCTATAACATATAATAATTAATTTTTAATAATTTTTTATTTTAATTTATTTATTGCTCAGTATCGCAGATGTGGGTTCCGCAATTTTACAGTCGGGTTGCACTGCTTCTCTCATTCTTTATAGATTATTTAAATAAAATCCTTGATTAGATGGGAATTGAGTGAGATAGTATATGTAAATAGTATATGAGTTATGACATATGACATTAAAATAAAATAAATAAAAATATAATAAATGAAATAAATAACAGTCAATCTTACCGAAGCTCCTTTCTGTCTACGATTTCACATCCGCCATGATCTTTGTTATCATGGCTTATCTTGATAAATGATAAGGGTTGATTGGGTTAAAATATGGCATTATAAAATTAGTAAAAATTGATGAAAAATATTTCATATTCATTATAATGAATACATTTTTAACAATTTTAATTTTATATGAAAATTATTAATTTAAATTGTACATTTTTACGTAAATTTTCTTTTTATTTAACTATGACCGTGTGCGTGTTCGCGGTAATTGATGGTAAATTGAGTGAAATAGTAAATCATGTCGGTATGGCAGAGAATGTTGGTATTCACCAGAATTTTGAGTAGGGTAAATTAGATAAAAATTAGGTAAATAATTATAAGTTTTATAA